TTCAGAACCGCATCCATTTGTTGAAACATCTCAGTTGATATTCCATCAATTCCTGAAGCCTTGTTTTTCACCAATGCCTTCAGTGCAGCTTGGATCTCTTCCTTCAGTACCATCGGTACCAGATCATACGTTACCTCTTGAAATGGTTGAATGTTGACCAATTCTTTTTGGTATAATGACTCTGTATTCCTTCCATCTTCTTTTGATGCTTCCTGCGTTGTTTAATATTTTCCCCACAGAATCCTTCAGTATTGCAACTTGAGGCTTGAATTTTTTCTTCAGTTCTTTCAACTTGAGAAATGCTGAGTGTGTTCTTCCCTTTTGGTTTTCTATCTCCAGCTCTTTGCACATATCATTATAATACTTTACTCTGTCTTCTCGAGTTGCCCTTTGAAATTTTCCGTTCAGCTCTTTGGCGTCATCGTTTCTTCCTTTTGCTTTAGCTACTCGAAGTTCAAGAGCAAGTTTCAGAGTCTCTTCTGACATCCATTTTGATCCTTTCTTTCTTTCCTGTCTTTTTAATGACCTCTTGCTTTCTTCATGTATGATATCCTTGATGTCATTCCACAACTTGTCTGGTCTTCAGTCATTAGTGTTCAACATGTCAAATCTGTTCTTGAGATGGTCTCTAAATTCAGGTGGGATATACTTAAAGTCATACTTTGGCTCTCGTGGACTTGTTCTAAGTGTCTTCAGCTTCAGCTTAAACTTACATATGAGCAATTGATGGTCTGTTCCACAGTCGGCCCCTGGACTTGTTCTGACTGATGATATCGAGCTTTTCCATCGTCTCTTTCCACAGATGTAGTCTATTTAAATCCTCTGTATTCCATCTGGCAAGGCCCATGTGTATAGGTGCCGTTTATGTTGGTGAAAAAAGTTATTTGCAATGAAGAAGTCATTGTCTTGCAAAATTCTATCATGTGATCTCGGCATCGTTTCTATCACCAATGCCATATTTTCCAGCTTCTTCTTTGCTTCCAACTTTTGCATTCCAATCACCAGTAATTATCAATGCATCCTGACTGCATGTTCGAACAATTTCAGGCTGCAGAACCTAGTAAAAATCTTCAATTTCTTCATCTTTGGCCTCAGTGGTTGGTGTGGAAATTTAAATAATAGTCATATTAACTAGTCTTCCTTGTAGGCGTATGGATATTATCCTATCACTGACAGCGTTGTACTTTGGGATAGATCTTGAAATGTTCTTTTTGACGATGAATGCAACACCATTCCTCTGCAAGTTGTCATGCCCGGCACAGTAGACCATATGACTGTCCAATTCAAAACGGCCAATACCAGTCCATTTCAGCTCACTAATGCCTAGGATATCGATGTTTATGTGTTCCATTTCATTTTCGACGATTTCCAGTTTTCCTAGATTCATACTTCGTACATTCCATGTTCTGATTATTAATGGATGTTTGCAGCTGTTTCTTCTCATTTTGAGTCGTGCCACATCAGCAGATGAAGGTCCCAAAAGCTTGACTCCATCCACGTCATTAACGTCGACTCTACTTTGAGGAGGCAGCTCTTTTCTAGTTGTCTTTTGAGTGCCTTCCAACCTGGGGGGGCTCATCTTCCGGCACTATATCAGACAATGTTCTGCTGCTATTCATAAGGTTTTCACTGGCTAATTGTTTTCAGAAGTAGACTGCTGGGTCCTTCTTCCTTGTTCAGCTCAGCGGAAACCCATCTGCCATGGGTGACCCTGCTTGTATTTCAATGCTGGTGGCATAGCTTCCAGCGTCATGGCAATACGTAAGCACCCACAGTACGACAAACTGACACACATGTGGGGGTCGTGCGCTATAAACATCCAAAAATACACGTGTGAGGACATGTGGAATGGTGTGGGCTGTGGGGGTCTGAATCAATCAAAACCCTCGTGTGCCACAAACACCCACAAACACATGTGGGGGCGCGTGTGGGTGGTGTAGGCTGTAGTGTCTAAGTTATTTGTATAGCTGGGGACTGGGTTTTGGTGGCAGTGGCTTGAGGATCAGACACACCAGCCCCCGCTGGACACGTCCATCAATGTTGGGACAAGGTAAAGGTGGAGCCAGCCTCTAGGGAGGGAAGTGGGAAGAGACTAAAGTGTTTTTATCTGCCCACTGGGAGGCTGGGTACCTGTGGGTGGAGGACGGTTGAAGTCCTGATCCCTGTACCTGTGAATGTGACCTTGTTTGGAAATAAGGTGTTTGCAGATATTATCAGTTAACATGAGGTCACACCAGAGTAGGGTGGGTCCTGATCCCACCCAAGTGATGTCCTTACGAAAGAGGAGAAAGACGCAGAGAGATGCAGAGAGAAGACGCCATGTGACGGTGGAGTTATGCTGTGTCCATAAGCCGAGGAATGCCTTCCCAGAAGCTGGGGGAGACAAGACGGACCCTCCCCTAGAGCCTTCGGAGAGAGCATGACCCTGCCGACACCCTGAGTTCAGACCTCTGACCTCTGACCTCCAGAACTGGGAGGAATTGAATTTCTCTTCTTATAAGCCACCCACTTGGTGGTACTTTGTTACAGCCGCCTCAGGACGCTTATGGGAAAGAGCACGTACTTTTCTGTCCTGCTCCTGATGTCCTTGTTTCCCTTACTCTTTTTCTGATTAGAAAACCAGCACTTGCCCTCTGGGGGCACTTAGCATGTAAGGAAGAGTGACCATCACTTGGATAAACAAGCCCCAGACAAGCCGCCCAACAGGGACACTGTGTGCTCACATCATCACTTCTTTCCTGTCCACGTCTTTTCTGGCGCTAAGCTGATACTGTACCCTCAAGGCTGCGTCTTGTATTTTCGGTTTTACATTATATAGAAAATCTCCCCCTGTCATTAACTGTGCCTCATAAACATTATTTTTAATAGACGGATGACATTCCACAAAATGGTGACTCCCTCTGTTACTAAGCACTGTACCGAGGCTGAACTTGGAGGTGCTCCTGATTCTCCCTTTCATAGCTAACACTACGATGAACATCTTCACGCCGAATCTTGGTCTTACTTTTGCCTTAGTACTTTAGGAATAATGTCGGAAAGGCGGAATTCTAGGGAACGGATTTATTTTTTCACTTTTTAAACCAACAGTGCTTAGCACGATGCATCGCACAGAGAAGGAATTTAAGAGATCGCTATTCTTTCGCTCGAGCTGAGCTGGGCCAATAAAAGTATGGTGGTTTCCATGAAGAAAACCTTGGCCTTTCCGATGCCCACACTGGGCAGGGGAGCTGTGAAAGGCGCGGAGCCTCAGTCACTGAAGCACGGGGAGAGACGAGCTACGGGACAGGCGTCTTCATGTTTTCAGACCCTACAATCCACGTGGGAAATGAGTTAGAGAAATCTCTCCCTGACACACTTAAAATATTTGTATTCATAAGTCAGGGATCTTCTTAAAGCTTAAGAATCTGAGAGATCTCGTTTTTGAGAGTAAGCAGACCGTCAGAGCTCAGCATGTCTCTTCACATCAGGTCGGCTTAGACGTCCCTCTAGGCTGCCATCTGAGGGGCCACCAGCCATATGCATCTTCTCACCAGGAGGACCATTCTCTCCGCACTCCCTGACCGTCCCTCCCTCACTGCAAATTTGGGAATCGAGATGGCACAGTGTTACAAGTGTAAACATACCACGGCTTGAAACAGCACTACGCCAGGGATGGAGTCCCAGGTGGAGCTAACAGTTAACACACTCAGCTGCTCACTGAAGGGTTGGAGGCTCAAGTCCACCCAGAGGTGCCTCTGAAGAAAGGTCTGGTGATCGACTTCAGGAAAACCAGCCATTGAAAACCCTATGAAGCACAGTTCTACTCTGACCCACAAGGAGTTGCCATGAATTGGAGTTGACTAGTCTGCCGGGGACATATCTCGTGAACGTATAATCTGAGAGCATTCAGGAATACAGCTGTTATGGATTGAGTTCCGTCCTCCCAAAATATGTGTTGTAGGTCCTAACCTCTATGCCTGTGGTTATAATCCCATTCGGGAATGGGTCGTCTGTTACGTTAACGAGGCAGGATTAGTGTAGGGTGTATCTTGAGTCAATCTCTTACAAGATACAAAAGGAGCAAGCAGAGATGGGGGAAGAGAGAGCCCAAGCCACAAGGAGATCTCCAGAAGCTGAAGCTCAGAGGAGACAAGGACCTTCCTCCAGAGCCCACAGAAAGAGAGAGCCTTCCTAGAGCCAGCACCCTGAATTCAGACTTCTAGCCTCCTAAACTGTGAGGAAATAAATTTCTGTTTGTTAAAGCCACCCACTTGTGGTATTTCTATTACAGCAGCACAAGATAACTAAGACAACGTCTTTGATTTTCTATCTCTATTTAAAGCCCGTATGTTCTGTAGGAATCTACTGATACATTGTCACAAGTCAGGATAATGTATTGATGTATACAAAATTAATTTTACTACTTCAAAGCTCATCTCTGTTTAGTGTAGTAGTGAATTCGGTTATTTGGTAGGAACAAAAGGTAATAATTATAAATACAAAATTATTACATTATTAATAAAATCAAACCAGTTGCCATCGAGTCGATTCCGACTCCTGGTGACCCCGTGTGTACAGAGAAGAATGTGCTCCATACTGTTTTCAAGGCTGTGACCTTTCAGAAGCTGATCGCCAGGCCTTTCTTCCAAGGTGCCTCTAAGTGGTTTGAACTGCCAACCTTTTGGTTAGTAGTTGAGCTTGCTTAACCATTTGTGTCACCCAGGACTCTTAAATTATAATTGGTAAGTTCAATTATAAATACAAACCCCTCCTGCATTCCTGTCATATGGGTCTTAGCGAGAACTCGGTGTGCTTTGTCAACGGTATGACACCTACTCGTTGCTACAAAGCTGCCAAACCACGGTTGTTTTCTTGACTTTCATGTCGGGAAATGAGGTTCTAAGTGGTGTGACTGGCTCGTGGTCCTGTTCTCAGAGCCCAGAACTCTGCTATGCTCAACCTCTCATGACAGTGTCCTGGGCCCTGACGTCTGACCACGGAAGGCCAGCATTGCACCTCACCGGTGGGCTTGAGGAGCACGGCCAGGAAGTCGGTGGTGTGCGAGCTGACGTAGAGCAGGATGCAGGGCGCCTTGGAGGTGCTGAAGCTGAAGCTGAGCTGCTCCTGAGCCAGGTCGGGGGCTGGGCTCTGCGGGTCAGTCGCGCCAACAGCTCTGCCGGGGGCTTCTCTGGCACTGGTGCCTGCAGCCTGGAAGTTATACCGGAGCCACATTCCCTCCTCAAAAAAGGCACCAACATCTGTTGAAAGAAAAGGAAAGATGGAAAAGTGATGAGAAGCGCTGAGCCGCTCCCGACAGTTAACTGGGGCAGACGGTTGGCATTGTAACGCCCCCTGAGGAGCTCGAGAAGGCAGACACCAGTCCCAGGCAGGGGGTCCAGGCTGGGCAGGCATCTACGCGATGGCCATTGTTGTGGATGAATTGTGTCCCCCAAGAAGGCACGTTCAAGTCCTAACCCCTGTACCTGTGAACCTGACCTTGTTTGGAAATAGGGTCTTTGCAGATGTAATCAGCTAAGCTGCGAGTGTTAGCGTGGGCCCTAATCTTTTCATGACTGGTGTCCTTGTGAGAGGAGAGTCCCAGAGAAGATAAGGCCACGCAAAGACAGACAGACAGATGAAGAGGGCCACGCGACCATGGAGGCAGAGATTGGAGTGACGCATCCACAAGCCCAGGAAGGCCTGGGGCCACCAGAAGCTGCCAGACAAGGAAGCACCCTCCCCCAGAGCCTTCAGAGAGAGCACGGCCCTGCCCACAGCGGGATTTCAGCTCTGGCCTCCAGAACTGTGGAAGAATAAATTTCTGTTGTTTTAAGCACCCCCAGTGTGTGGTCCTTTGTCACAGCAGCCCCAGGAAACCAGTAAGAGGCTTTACTCATCAACACAAATACTCTACAAAAAGGTAAGAGCATGGCAGACTATGGAAATCTGTAAGATTAAAAAATAGTGGCAAACAGACATTATCGAGCGCCCGTTGTGGTGGGCTTCCCTCTCTTTACCTTCTCTGTAAACAAACACCTTCCACTGTGTGGACTCCTTCCTCCGGAGTGCCCACCTCCCTGCCAGCTGCCCGATGCCGCACTCTGCACAGCGCCCACTGACAGCTACAAGGAACACAGGGCCCAGACCGCTCCAGGGAAAACAGCGCGGCAAACCCTTCCTGGCTGAATTCCCGCCCAGAGGATCACCACCACGACTGTGCCATCACGAATCATTCCACAGGAGCACTGAGTGGATTTGGGGGAGTTCTGTCCCTCACGGGCACTGTGCTCTCTGTCAGGCCTGTTCCGTCCGCGCCCAGCTCTGTGTAAGCGGGTTACCGAGGCCTCCCGAGGCCCTGCCGTCATACCCAGCCAGGCCCTCTCCTGGCCTTAAGCTGGCCAAGTCTGCGTTTTCTCCCCTAGTCACCACCCTGGAGCTCCCTCCTGAACTTTTTACTCTGTTGTTCCATGTTTTCTTCCATTTACTCTAATTGCTTTGGACTAACAACTTTGGGCCCTGGGGGGTGAGTGTTCTCTGCTTGTTCTGGGTCCCCCGTGGACACGTGTCCATTGTGACCAGGCTGCCTCCACTCTGAGGCCAGGAGGCTTCTGGGCCGGCCTCATGTAATACACCCTCAGGGTCTGGGTGTGCACACAGGAGGGAAACTCCATTTAGCCTGGATGGTGTGGGCTGCTCCCGAGACTCGGGTGAAGTACATTACTTTAGACACTTCAGCGAGCCGTGTGCTCGTGACTGTAAACGCTGGGGACCCCCGGCCGGGCTTTTAACACCAACAGCACGGGACAACCTCAGTGGGGACCTGAACTGGGAGAGGTTTGCATGTTGTCTCCAGGCCGTGCTCCTGAGGCTGTGTTTACTGCACACACACGGCGGCCCGGGCTAGGATGCGGTCGGGAGGGCAAACTTACAGAAAAGACGTGAGGACGGTTCAGAGAGCTCCCGTCACCCCTGGTGTAGATTCCCTGATTTTAAAAATTTCACCACGTTTGTTCATTCTGTTTATCACCTGTCTGTCTGTCTGTCTATCATCTATCTGACTATCTATCATCTATCTACCTGCCTACTTACCTACCTGTCTATCAACTATCTATCATCTACCTACCTATCATTGACATATTATCTCTTTATAGTTTCTGACATTTGTATATATATATTTTGATATAAAAATTTGTACGTGGACCTTAAAACTATTTTCTGTCTATATATATGGTGCAGTTTGCACGTCACTACTAACCTAAAGGTTGGTGGTTCAAGCCCACTCGGCAGCTCCACGGAAGAAGAATCCTGGTGATCTGCCTCCATAAAGATTACAGTCTAGAAAACTCCACGGAGCAGTTCTACTCTGTAACACATGGGGTTGCTATGAGTCAGAATGGACTCAAAAAGCAATGGGTTTGGGATTTAATTTGATTATACATATACATGTATATAAAATATTAAAAAAAACCTAATTCCTGACATATTTGTATGCATATGCAAATACTTCTGGAAAACCAATTTGAGATTACAAGCACACACATACACAGACACCCAGAAAGCCTTTTACAAATAAGCAGGCCCCCTAGTGGGCCTTATTATGAATTACACCTCAACATAAAATAAAAATCCTCACAACCGGACCAATAAGCAACATCATGATAAATGGAGAAAAGACTGAAGTTGTCAAGGATTTCATTTTACTTGGATCCACAATCAACACCCATGGAAGCAGCAGTCAAGAAATCAAACTTGTATTGCATTGGGCAAATCAGCTGCAAACGACCTCTTTAAAGTGTTAAAAAGCAAAGCTATCACTTTAAAGACTAAGATGCACCTGACCCAAGCCATGGTGTTTTCAATGGCCTTATATGCATGTGAAAACTGGACAATGAATAAGGAACACTGAAGAAGAACTGATGCCTTTGGATTGTGGTGTTGGAGAAGAATATTGAATATACCATGGACTGCCAGAAGAAAGAACAAATCTATCTTGGAAGAGGTACAGCCAGAATGCTCCTTAGAAGCGAGGATGGTGAGACTTTGTCTCACTTACTTTGGACATGTTATAAGGAGAGACCAGTCCCTGGAAAAGGACATCATGCTTGGTAAAGTACAGGGTCAGCGAAAAAGAGGAAGACCCTCAACAAGATGGATTGACACAGTGGCTGCAACAATGGGCTGAAACCTAGCAATGACTGTTAGGATGGCGCAGGACCGGGCGGTGTTTCGTTGTTGTTCACAGGGTCACTATGGGCTGGGATCGCCTGGATGGCACCTAACAACAACGACGACTAGTGGGTCCATCGCCAAGTCCTCCTCTGCACAGGGAAGGGAAGGAAGGGGAGGAGAGGACAATGGGTTGACTGCCTTACTCAAGCACCTGTGTCCTACCAGACAGTGGGCTCTGAGGCTAAGCTGCGTCTTTGTGACTTCGGCCAGCACCTGGCCTCCAGCAGGCGCTCAGGAAGTATTTGTTGAGCTGAGCCGAACTGAATTTGAATTTCCTCATAGTGACAGCGTGTTCTCCTTCCAGCAATCCCTGTTCACCTAAGGTGAAACTTTTCAGTTTCATTCCCTTTGAAAAGTGGACATCTAGAGAGAAATGACATTCCACCACTTTAAACAACATCGTTAATTAAAGTGATAATTTATTAATGGAAGTGTTAAAAGATGCATCATTCAGAATGATATATTCAGCAGACTTAAACAACCTGCAGACTGCAGATTAGCAGATGTTCTTAATTTCTACTGCTTTTCCTCTTTCATATTGGCTTAGTTAGCTAGAGGGAAACCCTGGTGGTGCAGTGGTTAAGAGCATGGCTGCTAACCAAAAGGTCGGCAGTTTGAATCCACCAGCTGCTTCTTGGAAACCCTATGGGGCAGTTCTACTCTGTCCTATAGGGTCGCTATGAGTCGGAATCGACTCAACGGCACCGGGTTTGGTTTTTCGGTTAGCTACAGCACATTTATGTGGATGTCGGTCCACTGCCTGAAGAGCTTTCAGAGGTAAAGTTGTCCCTGACCTGGTGCGTCTCCTCGTTTCACCCCCACTCTGCTGATGTCATAGTTTGCTATAAAGCTACTGCTGTTAGGAAGTATATTATTTATTTGTAAAATTATTTAATTACTTAATTTGTGCTGGTTCCAGACACTAGGTCGTTTCTACCAGTTCTGTTGATGAGTACACATTGCGTCATCTTTGCTCTCTCCTTAACACTAACCATTCCCTATTTTCTTGTTTGCTTGGCTGATCTGTTGGAGCTAAATAGAATTCCTTGACTGTAAATCCCCTTGGGTGTTGCAAATAGTTAACGTGCTCGGCTGTTAACTGAAATGTTGGAGGTTCGAGTCCACCCAGAGGTGCCTGGGAAGAAAGGCCTAGCGATCTAATCTGAAAAACCAGTCATTGAAAACCCTATGGGGCACAGTTCTACTCTGACACACATGGGGTCACCATGAGCTGGGGTCGACTCGATGGCCGCTGGTAACTGGTAAGGCTCGTTGGGGACAACACTATTCTTCATTCACGGTTGTGGCCCCAGAAGAGCAGGCACTCATGAAAGTGTGCAAATTCCGTGAGACACTTTTGATTTGGAGGCAGGCACACGTTTACAAGGCTAGGGGAGGTGAGTGTTGATTGAGTTCCCACCAAGTGTGGGTCACAACAGTCACCTTTCGTGCATTATCTTAATTACCTGGATTACACCACAACAACACTTTGGAGGTGGATGTTTCCACCCGTTTTACAGATGAGAAAACTGAGGACCAGAGGAGTGAGGTCATCCAGCTCTTCCAAGAGCCGAGAGTAAAACACAAACATGGCAGATCAAAGCACATCTCTTTCCCCCCTCTAGGTGATGTCTAAGGAGCCCTGGTGGCACAACAGTTAAGTGCTTGGCTGCTAACTGCAAGGCTGGCGGTTCGAACCCACCCAGCGGCAAGTGGGAAAAGACACACGTGGACAATTTTGGTGGTTACATACATGCATGGTGATTTACAGATACTCATCTGCGATTGCTCTCTTGAAAGGAACACGAAAGTATGAAATATGACCAACTAATGGTATTCTTGGTGAAGAAGATTGAATATACCGTGGACTGCTAAAAGAACAACAGTCTTAGAAGAAATTCAACCAGAATGCTCCTTAGAAGTGAGGATGGTGAGACTTTGGCTCACTTATTTCGGACACATCATTAGGAAAGACCAATGGCTAGAAAAGGACATCATGTTTGGTAAAGTAGAGGGTCAGCAAAAACGA